AGAAAACAAATATAGTATTGAATTTATTTGTTTTTCACTATATGACAGTATTAAATAACTCAAAAGGAACATTTAATCATTTTGTGTCTAACTGAATTGCACATTACTGTTTCTAATGGTAGGTATACCAAAACAGAAGCATTATATATAGAAAATCTGCTGATTTCGAAATACATTTTGCTTCATATTTTGTTTGCAAGATGATACGTTGAATTTTTATAAATAGAAAAATAATAAATGCAGCTTATTCTATTATTATAGAATATACTTTGACTTTTTCTATTCGATTTTCCAATCTAAAAAAAGAAAAAATAGAATTTTTCCACATACTTTTCTAGTATTAAACACGTACCTAAGTGAATTTTCTATTCGGCATTCGAAGAAAATAGTTCACATTTGGGAAATAGATGAATTGACAGAACAATTTGGATTCAGTACGAAAAACTAGTTTATTACTTCTGACGAGTGAACTCCTTCTATTGATAAATTTCTTTTGAGTCGAGACTATGTGTGTGTTATGTATAAATCCAAATGAGTTATGAATACCCTGAAAAGAGTTAATATCCTTAGCTTATTATTGTTGAGATACTGCAGTTTTATGATATTTTTTAAATGAATGTCGTAGTAATAGAAAAGTTGATTTTTGAATTTCGTCTTGAAATTTTGCATAGATACAGGCTTTAATCGAGAATAGTTTGTTTTTTGTGAAATGTTTCAGATCTTGTTGCCGTTCCTATTGTAAGATACAACTATGGTAATACCATGTCTTTTATTTCGCTTATATAAATCAATAGATTTCAGGATAAGAGCAAATCAGAAGACATGAAACTTTCAAAATGAACTATTCTCATAAAGATTTGTCTTGGTGTAAAGTTTCAAGTCGAAATTCACAAATCAGTTTTTCTGTCACTACACTGCATTCATTTAAAAACTAACGTAAAAGTGCAATCTCTTCGCAGCAATAAGAAAATAAGGACATGAATTCTTTTCAAGATATTCATAGCTCATTTCAGTCTACTTAATACACATAGTCTCGATTCAAAAATAATTTATTTGTTGAAGAAATTTCCTTTTGAGGCTTTTTCAGCTCACCACTAACTATAATGCTGGTAAATAACACATTCAACAAAGAACTTTAAAACAGATTGTATCTATGCATTTGATCAATCTGAATAGTTACAACATACAGAAAAATAAGAAAATAATCATAAGAATATGTTTATTGGTGCCAAACTGTTTTCTCCATATTCAATCGAACTCGAACTTCAGATCTATGTTGTACAATATCTCAATATTATATTACGATTCAATTGGAATAGAATCGAAAAATATTTTCTAAATGTTAAATTTAGTGATCGTATTGAGCATGTATCATTGGATAGTACAAATCGAGAAATCATTTCAACAGTCGTTCATCCATTTGCAATGACTGTTCATAGACATTATATTTATTGGATGGATTGGACTCTTTGTAAATTTCTTTTAATGAAAATAGTTTTCTAAAAGAAAATGTTTTTCTTTTTTTATCTCTTTCAGGTGATATTTATCGTGCTAAAAAATATAGTGGTGCTAATATGATTGAAATGCAAAATGATCTTTCATATCGTCCAATAAATATTCATATTGTATCTGATCAATGTCAAAAAAGTTTCTATTCACTATGTAATATAAGTGATGGTGATTGTAGTCATATATGTATATGTAAAACATCAGTTGATAATCAAGTTGAATGTGCTTATTCAAGTGGACAACAATTAAAATTAGCTAATGATTAATGAATAGTGTGTTCGTAAGTAAAATTTGAAAAGAGAAAAAAAACAAGCAAAGAAAAGAAAAATTTCTTTTATTTATTTTTTATCATTATCATCATCATGTACTTCAGTTAATATTATTTGTTGAAATGGTCAATGTCTATAAAGATGAAAAGTTTTTGATAATCAATCAGATTTTTCTAATGGTTCAGATGAAGATACAAGATTTTGTTGTAAGAAAATTATTCTTCGAAAATAAATTTAATTTATTATTATTTTTTTTCAGCACGTTATACTTGTCGAACAACTGAATATCAATATTTAAGTGGTAGATGTATTTCATATATTGAACGATATAATTGAAAAATTGATAATTAGAAAAAAAGAAAGCTGTTTGTATAATCTCTTAAGGGCCCCGCCCCCGTCAGAAAATTCAATTTTTCGGAGACGAGTCAAAGTTGAAGTTTTATCATAGGAAGATGCACTGAAGTCTTCTCTTTCAGAATATCTATAATTTATCGAAAAATGAATTGATTTTGACGAACTTATCGTCTAAAACTTCACTTCTATTATCATATTTTTCAAGAAATTTTCACGTTTTTTTTTTCCAAGCCTTTTCGACTTTTTAGGCTGCTTTCTCTTTGCAACAGCGTTCCGTAAATTTTTTTTTCATACTAATCACTAAGATACTATGAACACTTAATGTTAAGATCACATATTTATAGACTGTCTTGAACATTTATATATAAATCAGGTGATTTTTGGAAAAATCGATTTCTAATACTTATTTTCCGTTTTTCTCAAAATCAGTTTTTTCGAGCATGTAGTTTACGCGGGCAGTTTTTTCTTCATAACGACTCGACATGGAAATGATAATCTTTGTTTTATTACATAGAAGGTAGTTAGAGCTAGATCCTCATAGAGCCCGATTTTTGAATTTGTCTATTGACAAAATAAATAAATGCGGAAACTTCGGATTTAAATCCGAGAGTTATGTGTACTTCAAAAAGTGAATGAGACAGATGAGTCGTTCTAGAATATGGGGATATAAAAATTATTCTGGCAAACCTTATCTATAAACACTTGATTTCTATTGGCTACTGCTCAACCAATAGGATTTGGGGATGAATACAGCTCAGATTTGAACTCTTTGCCTTGGTTTACCCTAAGAAAGTCGTTTTTCCTATAACTTGATTTCTATTGGTTACTGTTCAACCAATGGGATTTCGAGGCGAATAGAGCACAGATTCGAGTTCTCCACTCCAGAAAACCTCGAACTATCATCTCTGTGATCGAAAGATAGAGCTCTATTTGTGGATCAATTAGAGCGTGACAAAAACAGAACCGAATTCCAATTAATTATCTTTGCAATAGCTGAGTTGGCTTTCTTGTTTCCTTATGTTTTATATACCATTTTGTAGCTCGTAAAATTCTCTATCGAATGGTATATAATAGTTGGGTTTTTAGTTGACTATGATAGGAAAAGTCTTTTACGAAAGTGGGGATGGGTCGATCTTTCCATAGGGAAGGTGCAGGGAAAAATGAGTATTTTTTGCAATAACTCAGGAAGGGCTTGGCCAATCCTTCTCATCTTCGAACTCGACCGAGATATTGTTAAGACTGAACTGTGTAGAAAATTTCATCGCGATCGGACTCTCCTTTCGAAAGTTATCGTGTTAACGGCCGGACGGCCGGACACACTGACCGATTCTAAAGTGTACTCACTTTTTGAGTACACAAAAATTCACATGTCTCATTTATATTAGCGTTTTTTTTTATCATGAATTCGAGAAGTTTTCGGAGAAAGGTTTTTATAAAACAAACAAAGGGAATTTCCAAAATCGGGCTATGTCAGGATCTAGTACCAAGGATACTCTACAACTTAAAAACAGTCCCGCTATATTAGTTCGTGTCTTGATTATGAAAACCTTGTCTGCGTACAGGGTACTTTTGACCAATAAATAGATGATAATTCGTGAATAGCTCACAGATTTGAGGAGATATTTGAACCATAGTATACTCTAATCAAGACTAACATTCTCTGAAATTTTGATTGAATTCCGTCGAAAAATAAAAAAGTTCGTTTTCAAGGGGAGTGGGAAGCCCTTAAGAATTAAAATGTTAAACACATGAGAGATGTATATCATGATCTGTGACTAATATCTCTCATGACCTGTGATACTGCCTTATTAGAGTCTGTCACGATCCCTAACGATTTCTAACTAGCACTTGTCACAGTCTGCAGGAGGTTCAAATGCTTATTCCTAGAATTCAAGACTCATTTTACATTGTATTTCATAAGAAAGACAAAAAAAAAATTCTTATTAAAATGTTTAATATAGATTGTAATGATGTTAGTAATAAAAATAATGTA